GGAGAACCACACTACAGGCAAAAACATAACATATAAGACAAACCTGTGGACAAGACACACACTACACAGACATTACAAGAAATAAACAACAAATATCAAATCGGGTGGAGAAGGGGCGGGGCAGCCATAAGCGTTCACTGGGCTGGACGATTCCGGGCCTGTAATGATACAGGGTTTACTCAAATTGAAAAAAACAAGCCAACAGTGAGGCTGATGTCCCCCGCCGAAATCCCAAGATAAATAGATGACACACATTAATTAATCGGACATTTTTTTTTCAAAAGTATCAAGCAATCAAACTATACACTAAGTTCCATCACTCTCTATCAGATAGAATCAAGAGTATCTTGTCCCAGCTTCAGCTTGAAATGTTAATCATTGAACTCAGTCAAGTCATTCACATCAAGTCTAAACATTCTACCTCAATTAAAAGCAGAGTTGTTATGTTCCAAAGTCTTGACCAATCAAATTGCTTATCGCTCATTAGCATAAGCAGAAAATTTTCCCCATCGAAATTAGTCATGGTAATGATATAATGAATCTATGTTCGGAGTTCCATCGCTCTCAATTTATTATAACCAAAGTTATCGTGCCTCAAAGCATCAACCAATCAGATTGCTTATTTCTGCTTACAGTAAGCAGACAATCTTCATTATAGAACTCCACCAAGGCATTCACCTAATGAATGCCTGCACCAAGTTTAAACATTCTACCTCAATTGGAAGGAGAGTTATTGTGTTCCAAAGTCTGGACCAATCAAATTGCTTATCGCTCTACTTACCCTCAGCAGAAAATATTCATAAACGAACTTAGTCAAGGTATTGGTGTAATGAAACTATACACCAAGTTTCATCTCTCTCACTTAATTAGAACTAAAGTTATCGTGTTCCAAAGCATCAACCGATCAAGTTGCTTATCTCTGCTTACCCTAAGACGAAAATGCTCATCTTCGAACTCCATCAAGGCATTGGCCTAATAAACACCTACACCAAGTTTGAACATTGTAACTCAATTAGAAAGAGAGTTATTATGTCCAAAAAAGTGTGACGGACAGACAGACGGACGAAGCCATTTTAATAGTCCCCTGCTTTCTTCGAAAGGCGGGGGACAATAAAATGAGTTACTAGAAAGACGTAATGCGACAGGTAATAGCCGGTACCACGAAATAGAGTATGTCTACTGATTTGCTAATTATGGACATTGGTATTGTATAGATAAACCACAATAATAATAAAAAACATTCAGGGATACCATTTTTCATAATATTCTTTATTACCCTGAAATAGAAACGTTTTATTTGAATTCTCAAGATTAAAACAAAATACGTTAGGGAAATCAATGCGACGCCGTGTGGCTAGTTAATTTTTATACAAGGGGAAGCTGTATGTATATTTCTCCATCTAACCCTGAACTGTCAAGATGGAAGAGGGAAGTGTCTATTAAAAGAGAGACATTTTCTAGATATAAACAGGCTATCCCGGAAACAACTGATGATCAAACCCAGTTCAGCATCCAAAAGCCCTTAATGGCGGAAGAAACTGAGAAAGACACCACAAAAGCTATTAACGCACTGTCAACTTTCCTTCCGACATCTTTCATGACCTTTCATTTTTAATGCATAGATATGGGGGGTCAAATAGTGTATTTGCTTGACAAGGATATTTTGTTAGTTCTTGTGAATGAGAATAGAATAATGAATAAACAAAACATTGTATATCTATACAACAGCATAATCACCCATCGGTGGCTATAATCTATCATGATAATAATATATAATTTCGTTGTTTAAATCCTTGGATGTCTACAAATACAACACTGCCATATTTCTCGGGGACCATGTGAATTTGAATAGGTATAGCACAAAGCCAACATTTCTACAAAATATTGTTAAATGTGTAAAATATCGAGATATTCCTCTTAGAGGTGTATCCGAAATGTTATTTAAATCTGGATAGGTACCTCCTGAACAAAATTACCAAATCTGGCTAAATTTCATCAAATAGGTTTGGAGTACAATCTTGTTGACGAAAATGTGTCCAAATGGGCCCATGTATGGCACCCAGAAACATACTTACCTATGGTACCGTACAATCTGAACCGAGAAATGGGGTTTAACGTCCACTCGACACAAACTATGTCATTTCGGGACTAAAATATGGTTCAATTTTATTTCAATGATTCGCCTTCGCATAGGGCTTTTTTTTTAGCAGTGGGGGGAAATCAGAGGACCTGGAGAAAACCCACGAGGTTGGACAGGCGACCCTTCTCCTTGTCACATACAGCCAGTTGACTCAATGATAGACCTAATGATACAGCGCGCACGCGCTAACCATTCGAAAATTGAAAGTAAGCGAATTAACCTGTCAGACAACACGTCGTCATCGAAAGGGCTGGTCTGACTCCTTAACGCTAAATATCTTTCATTTATAGTGGGTTTACAAAATCAAAAAGGTGGAATTCTGATAAATCGACAAGGACATCCTTAAGGCCTCCTCTTTTCGCACGAATCTGTTCTCATTTCATGACAATATGTATTCTCACATCAAAATCTCAGAATTACAAAAGTATTGATTTGTGAGACGTTGCAGTAAATTCCTTTCCTTTCGATACCCGGTAGCCATGCTTTGACTAAGAAAGTTCATCGGGATTTCCGGCGTGGTTCATCCTTGTTAGTGGTGCAGGGCGGAGGACCTAGCAAAGGACAACGCATCGTCATTCGGATCGTACGAAACCCCGAGATCTCGTATACACCAATACGTGCACGTAAAAGATCTCCTGGCATTCGATTATGACATCAACATTCGGTGTTGGCGAGAAAGTTCATCCCGAATTTCTTGCTTGATCCCACCTTGTCAGTGGTGCAGGACAGAGGGGCTGGCAAGGGACAGCGTATGCTAAAAAAACAAGGTCCCGTGTACACATTGTCGTTCACGTAAAGGAACCCCTAGCAGTTGGGATTCGATATAATAGTAGGCCGTAGCGCCACTGTTAGGGCAAAATTTCCCTCCTCGGACACTGTATGGCCGTCTTCATTAGCCCAGTTGGAGCAGACAGGAATGGGGTTTAAAAGGATCTCGACATCGATTATCATACGATGTGGAACTGGTAAACATTTAACGAGGGAAATGAAGCCCGGACAGCGGCGCTACGACCTACTCTTATATGGTATTCCAACTGCCAAGATATATTTTACATGCACGCCAATGTGTACATGGTACTTCGGTTCTGCAAAACTGACAACGAACCACGCCGGAAAATCCCGATGAACTTTCTTGGCCAAAGCAGGGTTCAAACACTCGACCTCCAGTGTTACTCACTGAGCTAGTGGCTCCAATGAAGACTAGTCGATACAATAAAGGGAGATAACCACAATTCACCAACCGGAGGCAGACCACCATTAATTCCCCCCTTTGACTTCAATATTAATTCTGGCCTCTTTGCCCGACTCCAATTTTTTCTCAAATTTTCTTTGGACTGAATGCTTTTCACTACCGACAGAGAAACAAATGGTCATGTCTTTGCACCTAAATTTATGTGAGGTTGACCACCAAAATTTTGAGATACACAAACTTGAAGAAGCGTGTAACTATTCGCCGTACATATCACCGTAAACAACCTGATAACCCTGTTATCCCTCCACCTCTAAATCATGAATATTTACCAAAACCTTACAGAAAATGTTAATTCAAACCCTCCTCGTCCATTTATGGACATGCAAAAGGGGAGAAAAGAGTCAGAGAGAATTGCTATAAATAGACGAGCTACAATGGTGGTCTGCCTCCAAGATATTATGTGTGTATATTAGTTAAATTGGACCAAGTGCGCGAGTAGAGTCAACCCGATGAAAGTACCAGTTTGTATAATTAATAATAGTCCAGAGCTGTGTTTATCGTGTTACTTATCAATGTCATGAACTTTAATGTTCACGGTTATTCAATATAAATTCAATGGTCAATGCTGAGATACAATACGGATTTCATCCTACGGCGGATTTCTGTAGCTGTAGCACAAATGTATATGCAGAGTATCATAAGTTATGGACGATGGATTCTTAATAAATACATACATTTTTATATTATATGTGTTATAATATGTGAGAGTTAGAGAGACTATTGAATAGTACAGTAAAGTACATTAACGGGTGCTAGGGATTTATTGGGACAATGACTCCTGTCCGGGACAGGAAACAATATCAAAAATAACTGTGGTCTCCAAACGTATTTCAGCGGGTATCGTATAACCGTGTCTTGCATTTTTACTTTATTATAACTTTTTTACATCGTGTAGTTTTTGATCCACATGATCTTTAACATCACGCCCACTAAATGAAAAGCATGACATTTTGAGACTAAAGTATGATACGTTATTTCAAGAATACGATTTCGTTCAGGGAAACCGTAGAACAACCACGTGGTTAGGTAGGCGACCCTACTCTCTGACGACATTACGAAACTTGCGTCGATGACAGACCTTATGTTCTAAGCCTAGACGTTATACTTCCGGCGGGTGCAGGTGCGGGGGTGTTGTGTGTGTGGGGGTGGGGGTGCAAGGGCCTCACAGTATGTTTTATATAAGTCCCATGGAATAATAACTTTATTTATAAAAGTTTTTGTCAAGAGTGTTCCAAACTTTCAAAATACGCCTGTGCAAAATCAAAATCCAGTGTCTTCAGAGAAAACGTGTAAAATGTTTGAAAATGTATAAATTATTCGCTTAGATGTATGTATACCCGCACATCACTATCTATGAACTTTGTGGGAATAAGCGCTTCCCAAACAACATATCTATCCAATCGGGTTGCAACCCAGCTTGTGGTTCAGTTAAAGGGTGGGCGGACGATTCACCGGATGTATGTGTATGAATAGCCAGACGGACTAATATATAATTTATTAACAAGCTTAGACCGAAACTGGTGCAAGTATGTATACTATTTCAAAATCATCTTTAATTTTTTTTTAGAAATGGATGAAGTGGCCAATAAAGTTAATCAAGATAACAACTGATTTATTTATGTCCATTTATTGGCACTTTGCATGCGTCATCTTTACAAGTATTTTCATCACATAAAAACAGTTTTGATTAAACCAAAACTAAAAGAACAGATAACTATATAACATAATACTGAGAATCCAACACAAGAAAGAATACTAGAAATGTATCTATGGGATAAGACAAATTCCAATGGGATAAGACAAACTGATCAGATCCCAAGACCTTAAAATAAACATGTTTGGTCAATTAATAATTTAAACGTATTTTTTTTCTTTTTTAAAAAAAATCAACAAAAGAAAAAAAAATCTTTATGTCTAAAGTACTGGATTGACAAAATATGGCTTACAGAACACAGATCTGAAAATGTTTTGAATTGCATCCATTACATTGTGCGATATAACGTTTAATAAAAATACAGTTTAGCTAAACCATTTTTTTTTATAATATGGAGTCCGGCTTTTGTTTTGTGACTTCTGTGTACAGATTATACAAATATTAAAATCAGTTCAAACAAAACAATTGTCCATGTGCTATTCCACACACATAAGCGGAGTATAATTCTCCAATTTAAATCTAATAAAATATGACAAAAATCGGGGTCGTTTAAAAACTTAATAAAACATCATGGATGTAAGTATGCTCCTTGTCAAATACCTTGACAAAGTACATTTAAATAACACATTTACAAGTTGTTCTTTAAACTGTTAAATAGCTACCCACTCCGCAGGTAATCCGTATAAATATCACATTATTTTGTCATTGGTTTAAAGAGAGATTATACATTATGAGCCTTGACACAAGCTAGCACTGAACGAATAAAAAAACCACAAAACAAAGTAAATTGTAAGAAAAAGAGGAGACAAAATATGTTTAAAAAATAAAACAAAACTTACATCATGGGACATATGTACATCTAGACAAAAAGTATATAATATATTCAAGTACATACATAATATATATATAATAAACGACTCATTTACACACCATTCTTAAAACTTTAAACAGATACATAAATGATAAAGAATAAAATGATATTATATTGTGTATTATATTGTTAAATATTTGAAACATTTTATTCAGTTTCAAACCTCTAACACCTTCCGATTTTAATTATCTTGAAACAAAATAATTACCCTTTAAAATCCAACAGATCATGTATCCATCCAAGATTATATTCAGAACAATAACGTATTTATTTTAAATACTGGAAATTAAAATTTATGATATATAATTGTACATGACTTTGATGCCCAATCAAAACAATAAATGAATTCAAGCTTCCGATCTGAAAGAACCAGGTCTGACGTTTCTGTTTTGATTAGAAAACAAAGCTAGATATTGTAAGCATACACGAAATTGTTGTCTAGGTAGAAGAACATAAGATTTCGTGATCCGTTATACAAATCAACCTTATATTTACGCCAATTAGTCAGCTTTGTAATAGAAATAGCAAACTTTCAAGTATTATAATATCGTGAACAGTTCCTTTCTTAACCATTATATAGTACATACATTGCAAACAAGTTAATTCTCAAAATTAGCAAACTGACAACAACCTGCACAAATCCTCCAATAAATCAAATTGGTCAAGATTTTTGTTGTATTCCGGCAGAAAACGTCAATCACAAGCAGTGTCGGATTTACCTATTGGTTTGGTATGATATTGTTGACACTGTAATAAGCCTTTCTTACATGCAACGTAGTCTTAAACATCCACCACAATCATGGCTTGCTCAGTTGTGTTCTAAACAAACTTTGATCTTCATCGAGTCGTGAGGTTTGGGGATTGGGAGTGACCTGGTTAGTAAAATAGCCGTCTAGGGCCTATCCCCATCTAAACACGGCACTGCTGACACGATTGTCCTATGTCAAATAACCTACCGGACATAGCAGCAAATACACAGTAACATTCCAGTATGATCAACCGTGGCTTGAGATGACATGCATGAGGTGTGGTCTTAATGCGACGGAAATACGGAAGTCAATCTACGTAGTGCGTTGTAAGTTACTTACTACAACACGATTTGAATTGCAACAACTGACAAAATACGAATTTTGAGCCAATTAATCCTACGTATATCAAGTTTTGTTGACTAGATCTATATCATAAATTAACTTATTTACATATAAAACAACTCTTTAAAAATAAGAATTGTCGACCAAATAATGATACAAAATATAGCAATGAAATTGCGTTGACAACAGAAACATTTTCAATAATCATAAATAACCAATTAACATTTCGAACTCTTAGCCATAAAAAACTAGGCTGAAATGTAACAATTCGTGTAACGTCCATCCCAAAACATACGCTAATATGATGCGTAAACACCGTCTCCATTCATTACAAATTACTTCGGAGTATAATTGCATAATCAAAACAGATAGTTATATATAAATATATTACACATTATTTGTCTGTTAGATATAAGTATATTATAGATAATCGTCCAATATTCAGAAATATACACAGCATAATAATAAATAAGATAAACATTGGGATTGGGAATATGAATAAAGGGAGTAGAACCCTGGCTACTATGTGTAAAGACTTGTTCTGCGTTAAAGCGTCTTTTCAAGTAGTGTGACCAAAATCAAAAAGCATTTAATTTAGCTCATTTAATACATCCTAGATTAAGAGATTTAAGTCCTTAAAAATTCCAAGGCTAAAAGATATAAATATGCATTTAATGGAAGAATATCTACTCCATTTATTAACATTCCCTGATTTCATAATAATTTACATGTATCTATAACAAATGATCAAAAATATATAACTGACGTCGTTATTACATTGGGGTTATCTCCCTTGAATAGCGATCTTCACTATTTCATGGTTTTCTGTTTAATTAAAGAGTTAATACATTGATGTGTGTTCATTGTGTGTATCGATTTTAATTAGCTACACGTCGCTATCTAATTTTAAAGAGGTGGTTGGTTGTTACCCAGGTTGTTTAGCCCGATTACGTATAGATGAGGGTTTTGCACAGATCAGTATATTAACATTCTACATCATAACAATGATGAAATCGCGTTTATGATAAGCTTATTCTATTAAAGATGCATTATGTAAGAGCTAAATCTGCCTATTGCAGGTTATTGTTTTGGCTCCAAATGTTATATAAACGATTGTTTAGACAATTACTCAACTCTCTAGGCCATTCATTTGATGGGCGAGATTTAAATGAATTTGAACACCCCGAGATTTAAAATTTAAAGATAAAATGGATGATCCAGACATAGTCTCGATTTTCAATCTCTGCTAAATATTGTCAAAACTTCATACACACATGACTTTGCGCACAATAGAGTAATTTGAATGAAATTTCCAATATATTCATTTTACATTAACCCAAAACATACGCTAATATGCAGCGAAATAGCCGTCTCCATTCATTACAAATTGTGTTATATGTGCTAGCTCGTTATCTAAATCTTACATAATGGACCTTTAATAATGTAATTGAACGCCAAATAGATAAATGCTATATTCATATAGGCAATACATATCGCATTGTGAGATGTATCAATATTAGATACGATCTTTATAATGATATTGTGGATTAAATATATGGTCCACCCATGGTATTGATTAGCCTTGTCAAGATCCTACTCCAATCCTGGAATATAAATGTTATAATTCTCACTAATCCAGTGTCTCTATCTTCAATCACACGAAGAAACCCTGGAATTATAAATTTAAGTGATATAAATCAAGACATATTTAAATACTGTTATGAATAATGCAAATATTTAATCTTGAAGAAAATGATAAAGTTTCATCTTTTGGGTTTTTTGTGCTTTTTTGTTTGATTGAAACTGCGGTGATGAGAAGGCCAGAATATACATTTGCAATATTTTGTTGGTCGGATGGTGTGCTTTCTTTTGTACCTATAATTAAATGTCAAATCTCCAATCGTCAAAGATTGTTTTGTTTCCGACCAATACATCTAATTGTGTCTTTGTCACAGGTACAAAGAAGTGGAAGTATTCATTTTATTGGGTAATGTATTTTTAATTTTAGATCCATGGAATAGTGTTGGGGGAATATTTGGATCAGAAAGAATATAGTAATATCACATTATATACCTGTTATAAAGGAGTCTCTTTCTTTATTGGTAAGCCATTGGGTCTAGATGGTCCTTGAGGGGGTCGTGTAGGACTAGGGTTAATATTTGTAAAACCGTTAGCATGAATCACAGGTTTTTCCTTCTCTTCACTTAGTTTATTAAAATGGGTACCATTAATACCAGGACTTTTAATAACCTTTGGATTCGTGACAATACCATTTCTTTTGCGTCTTGTTTCCGGGGAGCGCATCTCCAGAGCCGATTGTCCCATCATGAGCTTTGTGGGCGTGTCCTGATTATTTGTCCTTTGACCCCGTGTACTACGTTTCACATTTTGTGGAAAAAGAGCAGGGTTGATCTGCCACACTGGTTCTTCCACAGAACTCATCATCTCCGCATTTGGATTGGTTATAATGTTTATAGTAGCTGAGATTTTCTCTTGCTTTAAGCTCCCGCTTTTAATCGGCGACGGGGCTAAAATGTTTATATTGTTGTCTAACCCTGGCGACATCCCCGAGTATTTATGTGCTTGGATAATCGGAGATATGGGTGGGGTTTGAACCGGTGACTGTGGTTCACTAACGGGGGAGAGAACTCTACTCATGGGTCGGGTTCTGTTTTTACCCATTGAGCACTGTTGTAGTTGTTGAGTGAATGTCAGACACTGGTCTGAAGCGCCCTCTAATTTATTGTTTCCGCTTTGGGAACTCTGATTTGTCGAGGTTGTAATGTTGCTGGAAGATTTCGAGTTGTTCGAATGATAGGATTTACGACGATCGTAAGTCGATTCCGGTGAATCTGAAGGAGAACTATGGATAGCATGTCCACCAATAACGATTACACTTGTCGGCGGAGCACTCGAATGAAGAGGCTTCATTTCATTACTTGATGTTGACGATGAGCTTCTGCTCTTGTTAACACCAACGGGAGAAGCACCGTAATCCTCTAGAATTTTACACACAGAGTTATGTCCACTTTTCAACGCCACCCTAATGGGCGTTCGTCCGTACTGATCAGCGTGGTTGGGGTTTGCATGGAATTTCAAAAGTACTTTAACAACTTCAACATGTCCTTCCTGGGCTGCTATGCATAAAGCTGTAGCCCCTTGATTACACGTGTGATCCACGTTAGCACTATTCTCAATTAATAACCGTACGACATTTTCGTGTCCCTGCCAAGCGGCTGACTGTAACGCAGTTCTTTGATCGTTATCAATAGAGTTCACATTTGCATTATGCTTGATCAAAGCTTCCACCATTTCGTAATGACCTTGCCAGGCGGCAACATGGAGTGGCGTACGACCCTCTAAATCGGATATTTCTACATCGACGCCATTTTGCATCAACAGCTGCGCCATTTCTAGATGGTTTTCTAGAGCGAGAACATACAACGCTGTTCGTCCGTCGGCATCACAGTAATTAATATCAGTCCCATTTTCTATCAAAAATTGCACAATGTCCTTATGATTCTCTACGGCAGCTACCCGGAAGGCTGTCTTGCCGTCATGTGACTTATGATCTATTACGGAATGACGTTCTACTAGCAATTCCACTATAGACAGATGTCCTTCCTGTGCTGCCTGGATGAGAGCAATACGTCCATCATTATCCACTTCATTTACTTTGGCACCATGCGACACTAGCATTTGACAAACCTGGAAATAGAAGAGAGTTTCATTAGAAAGTGACGAATAGTTAAAAGAAAAAGAGAAAAATAATAGAAACGATATTGCAATTTCACAAAAACACAGCACTTCTTCAGTGTTTGAATGTCAATTTCAACCATTCTATTGTGCTTGTCCACAGAGTAACTGCAGTTTTCATTTCCGGTCTGTATATCATTAAGGCATTATGTCGGGTTAGTGTTTGCGTTTGCGTTTGAAAAGATAATTTTTGCTACATGTACATCGTAAGCTAGCACAATCTTGGACACTGTTCAAACATATATAGAAAGATTTCGAAAAACAGTGATTATTGTTTGAGCTGTAATGATATGTAAAATGATATCTGTCATATTAACTATGGTTTTCTACAAATCTTTGTAACAAAGATCTATTTGTATTAAGTACGTATAGCTGTACATCTGTTGTAAATAATGTAGGCCTAGCAGTGTATTTGAATGGAGAATTTGCTGCAAGAACGACAATCTTGGACACCATTAAACCAGATTTAAAAACCAGTGACTGTTGTTTGATATGAAAAGCTATATCTGTCATGCAAACTATGTTTTGTTATTAAAATGCGTGTGTATTAAGTACGTATTGATGTATCGTTGTACATGTGTTGTAGATAAAAAGCATGGGTGTATACAATAGTATTTGTTTATACATTCAGCTTTGTTAAATGCTTAGTAGAATGTAATGTGACATCTATATATCTTCTGTGTGACAACTGTATGGGAAAGTGACTTCCTTCCTGTGGTGTTGAAGTGATGTGTTGAAGAACCGACCTTGTTGCCCACCCACCAACATAGCTCTTTACGCTCCACTTCTTACAAGTTTCAATGAGTCAATGACGATACCGAAATAATGCGATTAAAAGGGACATTTTACAGATGTTTGTTTTTATTAATGTATTTTGAAAATAAGTAAATGTATTCCCGTTGTTAAATGAAGGAGTATGCAGTCTGTGGGTCTATTTATTGAAGAATTTCGGTCGTTACATGTATGATATATGATACCATGTGAAGTTCATAAACATTAAACATACATTATACAAGAGCTAAATCTGCCTATTGCAGGTCTTTCTTTGGTCTTGAAATGTTTTCTAAATTATTAATTAGACATTAATTAACTTATCCAGGCCATAATCAACTCTCGATGGCATCGGATTTCTCCGATATTAAATAGATTAGAACAGTTCAGACATATTTTGATTTAAGCTAAAAATGGAGGAGCGAGACTTAGCTTCAAACAACTAGTACAGTGGTTGAAATTATTGCACTCGTCTTGTCAAACATTCGAAGGCTAATAGAGTAATTTGAATGAAATTTTCAAATTATTCATTTTACATTATCTATTTTCGAACTATTATAACAAGAACGGTCAGCTCTTTATCTAAATCTTACATAATGTATCTTTAAGGTTTTGTTTCACCCTCGTCTTGTATTTAAACAGCATTTTCGGTGATTGTGCTCGTGATTAGTGCCCAAGGGTAACCTTCACCGAGTACACTCGGATTTTAGATACCAAATACAACTATCAGTCCATTCATTTCCCAATAGGAAGTAATGAGCACGATTCACCATACGATTACAAAACACTTGGTATCCATTTTGATTAAATTAAAAATATTCTTCTACTTAATACACATTATCTGCATTAATTTCATATCAACAATTGATAGTCTCTCGGCTTTAATACATTTGGATTAAAAAGACCACCAGAATATAGAGAAAATTGTAGGAGACTTTACCGTACATTACCTTTGTAATGAAATGAAATGAAATGAAATGAGTTTAACGCCCTACTGTTCTGCTCCTAACCTGGGCTAATGAAGACGGGCATACGCCATACAGTGTGCTATGAGGGAAATTTTGCGCGGGCAGCGGCGCTACGGCCTACTCTTATATCGAATTCCAACTGCCAAGGGATCTTTTACGTGCACGCCAATGTGTACACGGGACCTCGGTTTTTCGTCCCATCCGAACGACTAGACAGGTGTCCTTATGCAGGGATAGAACACCCGACCTCCAGGCTAGCGAGCCAGCGTCTTACCCACTTTGCCACGTCATACCTTTGTAAATACAGATTGTAATTGAACTATTTTTAAACGATATTCCCTTTAGCGATTCAATTTGCACAATATTGTAAAATCCCACAAAGGACGATCGGAGACTTTAAATAACAAAATGTCTCTTTAATATACACATATAATTATGTTATAAAGTGATCATCTACATGTATATATTTATTTCAATATTTTATATTTATCTTATCTCGTTTCCCTCGGGTAAAAACTTTTACATATAAATAAATGTCACTGCTCACTATTCATCTTAATCATTTCTTTCCTGTGTATCTCCGCTTGTATGAAAATCGTTGAGGTAAAACGAATTATTTCACACTTCAGGAGTTATACAAATAAGCTGATCTCCATAAAAATTGGGTTTCTCAGTAGTCAAATTACTCTCACATTCTAATCTACAGGATACGATTTCTGGGTCGCTTTCTGGAATTTTTTGAGGTTTTAAATATCTTTTTAGTCCATCCGTATTTATGAAAAATGTAGGTTAGACCACCAGTATCTTAGTTTCAAATATTAGAAACGGGTTAATCTGGCATTTTGAAATGCCCAGATTTTTCAGAGAGAAAGAGAGAGCGGGGGTAACGTCCACTCACTACACGTTATGTCATTTCGGAACTCAGAACCCGTAGAAGACCAACCAAGTCAGGTGTGCAATCCTAATCCACGACCGCACACCACTGAGATACTTTGTGATCGGAAGCGTTTGTCTTTTAATACCTTTCTTGTTCAAGTTTATCTTTTTATACCTGTATTAATTGAAATATCGATATATAGTGTCCAACAATTATATACCAGAACATTGTTCTGATTAAATGTACCCGAGTAACTCAGTACGACACGCCTATTTTCTTTAATTTAACGTCAATCTACTTGTGATTATATTATCCGCCCGAGTAACTCAGGTACAAGTAAAGAGTTTTTCATTTACATATATGCATAAGAGTGTGTCTAACAATCTTAACAACTCTATAATTATTTCCACAGAATAAAAGGATACAAGGACAAGTTCTATTGGTAAATCTGATAAATCCTAAAAGAAAATAGCCATGTTATGATTTATATATAGGAAATACCTATTGAAATAAATACTGTCTCTATAGTATACACTTAATACCGATGTCCATCTTGATAAAGAGTATGGGAAAAGATGAAATGATATATCCATGAATTAAAGATAGACTATAAAGAATTTAATGAATGCACCTGTTGAACTTGTAGTATATTTATCATTAATAGAAAGACTGGTATGGACGAATAGTTTCACGTAAATAATTTACAAATTCATCAAAATCAAATGATATACTTGTATACGATCATACAAAATATGTAGTATATTAAATATATGTTATTAATCAGCTTAAGTCACGTTTACAGACGATTGTTTGCCTTTGGATTAATGAGATCCAGAAAATATCTTAATAAAATGTTCTTTAAGCACGAACCTAGGAACATTTTCTGAGGGTCCAAACTTAATGAACTGTATCATAATGTACTGAAAAGTACTACACGTATACCACTCGATCTAAGTGTGCATAGATTTTGCAACTTAGATAAAATCTTGATTCTGACAATGCAAATTGCTGATTTATGCATTTCTAATAATTTAGTAGCTGACTTGTGCTAATTATTGAATTAACATAAAATCAAATAGGGTTTAACGTCATATATTTTTACATCGACTGCGCTAATGAAGACAGGCGTATGCCATAGACCTACAGTGTGGTGCTACATACGAAAGGAATTTTGCCAGAACAGCGGCGCTATGGCCTATTTCGAATTCCAACCGCCAGGGCCTCTTTTACGTGCACACCACCGTATACACCGGACTTTGGTGTTTTATCCTATCCGAATGACCAAATACTGTCTTTGTCAGGCCACCCCTACACCACTAACAAATACAAACCACGTTCCAAACATCGAATTACTAAAATATACATGTACGTATTGAATTAATAAAATATAATTATTGAAATATTTCAATATATAATTTAGATAGCGATACAGAACGTTACAACAATACAAATATTTAATTGTCTCACTCAACCAATAAATTCCGGTTGAAAATGTGTGTATTCCTGTATTGATGTGAAAACCCGATCAATATTTATATCACTTGGTCAACAGATGAAACACCAAGTTTGTGAAACGTTACTTATATATAAACAGCGAGTTACTCCGTGGCACACGATGCTCGCACAGTAAATAATCTAGAAACCTACTGTAAATACATCGCTAAAACATATTTACCGGTACCCTTGATGCTAAACCTATGTGATATACTACTGTGTGGAATACGGGTACATTTACCACCGTATAAACACATTAGTGGCCATAATTATCAGGATTTAACCCGCCGATTCCAAATGAAATGAAATGAAATGAAATTGGGTTTAACGTCCTACTGTTCAGCTCCTAACCTGGGCTAATGAAGACGGGCATACGCCATACAGTGTGCTATGAGGGAAATTTTTGCCCGGGAAGCGGCTCTACGGCCTACTCTTATATCGAATTCCAACTACCAAGGGATCTTTTACGTGCACGCCAATGTGTACACGGGACCTCGGTTTTTCGTTTCATCCGAACGACTAGACAGCTGTCCTTGTCAGGCCCTCCATCCTGCATCACTGACAAGGGGGAACCACGCCGGAAAATCTGGATGAACTTTCTCGGCCAATGCAGGGATCGAACACCCGACCTCCAGGCTTGCGAGCCAGCGTCTACCCACTTAGCCACGTGATCCCCCCCCCCCCCGATTCCATGTTCTACCAATAGGCATTATACATATTATAACAATGACAAATAACTACTGTGTTCAGTTTGCAGGAGTATTAAAGGGCGGTTAATATTTTGGACAAAATACTAAGCTATTGACGAGATACACACGTTTTAAGCTAAAACACAAGTCATT